CCCTTCAGCGTCTTTATGTCAAATGAACTCGCATCCGCCGTCAACGCCTCCGCTGTAACACCGCCAACGTTGTCGAGGCACTTTGACGCAATCCCGGTGATGCACTCGCCACCGCCGTCTTTCTTCTTGCACTGAGCCTCCGCAACGGCAAACACATCACCGTCCACCTCCACAAGGCTGGGGACACGCAGCGAAGTGACTGAACCTCCAGCAGCCCCCTTCCACTCAGCAGTTATCTCCGTCGTCCCTGTAAATGGGTTCACGGCACCCTCTTGATCACTGGCCGCAGCCCCACTGCCACTGCCGCACATCGACAGCACGCAGAGGAGCAGCACCGCCGAATAAAACAGCTGCCGGGGCATGTTGTGTGGGCGGTGTGTGTGTGTGTGGTGCTGGTGGTAACTGCAGGGCCCTTCAAAGTGCACAGTAGCAAGTAGCGTTTGGTCTCCTTCCTTTCGTGTGTGTGATGGCGAGAGAAGTGAGGCGGTGCAATAACAAAACAGATGCGTGTCGGCGCACAGGCAAAAGAATGAATTAAAAGCAGCGCAGTCCCACACGGTAGCAGCTGCGGCACTGGAGCCCAAAACGCAAATAAAAAAGAACGCTGAGGATGAAAACTGGCAAATCCCCGCAAGACCCGCCACCCAAAAAAAAAAATGGGAAATAAATTACCTCAGCAGGTGTTTTTTACCTCACGTTTCCCGAAGCGCAACCGGGCCATGCGTTTGTTATCCGCGAAATTTTTAACAAACCGCCGTGCTGCACGAGCCCGCACGCACCCCGCACACCTCACACGGCATGCGCTTCAACCTTCCAGTTGCGTCGTCAGTGGGGCGCACAGTAATGCCACCGCCACAGCAGGGGGGGCAACAAAAAAGCAAACAGGAGGTGAGGCCGTCACGCATGGCGGTGTGCGCAAACAACCATTCAAGCAGAAAAGGGAAACAGGGGAGCGGATTACTCCAGCAAAACACCAGCAGCAAACGACCATAAAAAATCAGGCAAACACAAAAAAAAAAAAACAAACACACCCCGTGAAGTGAAGCCGAAGCGTGGGGCGTCCACCGAGCAGTGGGGACACGCAGCAGCAAGTGGGACGACCAGCACACACGCACACTCCCTCTCCTCCCGCACAGCCCCAATCCAGGAAGAAGGAGGGAAAAAGAGGCCGCCCACCGAAAGCAACGAAAACATTAAAATGATAAAAACAGTTACGGTGCTCTACCCATGCAGCCAAGCAGAACGGCGGCAGCGCGTTGAAAGCAAAATAAATTAAAAAACAACGGGCCTGCATGAGTGTGCGTGTATGCATGAGCACATTACGTGTGTGCCTCGTGGGGTGGGGCGAGGGCGACAGTCCGTGCAGGAGGACACACACAAAAA